GAAGAATTTAAAGAAAACCAATTCCAAAAGAAAACAAATTGGTTTGAACAAGAATCAATAGAAGTGGGAGTATAACAGAAAGTGCAAGAAGTATCTAAAAAGAGATCAAAAGTAGGAGATAAATTTAAGTGGAAAATCGCAAATAAAGGGTATAAATTTAATATGGTTACATAGTGGCGATCAATTATAACCAACCCTTGACACGTCGTTTTGACTTTATAATAAACTAATACTACATTTTAAAAAAAAGAACTATTTAATTTTAAAATTCGTTAGAATATAACCATTAAAATCAGTTACTTAGGTAAAAATTTTCCTTACAGCACAGGCCAAAGACTTTACCTTGTAATCCGCATAGATTTGGGTCAGAATATTTCAGGTTCTCTAATAATTTCGCCATTAATTACTCAAAAAATACTCTTCTTTTTTGGATTTATTCAAATAGACGCACAGATTCGCCAAAGTTATTTAGCACTATAATAAAAATAGAGGTATTATGATCAAGAAAGGTTCACATGTAGAGATCTTGTAAAAAAACAGTAAATTATGAAATCTGACGTTAGAATAAATCGAAACACCACTTGTTAGCTAAGTAGTCTACAAATATTATTTTGCTTTTTAGTTAATCCTGAATATAATTATTTGCGTTATTTTATTGACAAAGTTTATACCGCAATTAATTAGTCGTGCATATGTGTACAAATAACATTCATCATAATTGCATTCACCATAGAGAACCTTCGATATAGTGAAAAATTTCAATTACATTGTTAGGCATCTGGTAATTTGAATTCGAATTGGACATATAAGTTCCAGTTAGAATTTATAAGTCTACTGTTTCAGCTTATGAGTTCAAACAAAATTGGTCAAGAGTAACTTGTAATGAGGAAAGCCACATTATTAGTATAGGATTGGCAAAGCAACCATTAATATAGTGTACATTTACAAAATTTGATGTATTATATCTATTTCGTAATATAAATAAAGCTTATTTCATGAATAAAATCTCAGAATGCTTCCAATTTATTTATTTGATTTCAAATTACAATCATAAATTGAATATTATATTTATATGTCCCAATTTAGTTGAATAGTAAATTCTACCAACAATAATTCCATTCTGCTAGAATAGCCAACTTAATTATAAATGAACGCCTTATGTTAATTCTTTCTAACTCTATTTTTAAAATAAGAGTTATGAAATTTGATATTAGAATGAGATGAAAAATGCTACTATATTTACCTAATCTTCGCTATTTGGTGAAGAGCCTGTTGCTTTAAAAGTTTCAAGTTTAATGACTGTTCCTTTCTGGTTAAATTCCCTCGAGTATCGTCCAATCTAGTTTTGGATTGTGTCAACTTTGGGCACATGGTCTTCTTCGATTTCTTCAGAATCCACAAACCTTAATAATTCCTCGTGCATCTCCTTGGCTATCAATTTATCTTTAGGGTTTAGGTTACCATTCAGAAAGAGTTGTTTTAGAATACTAACAACCTTAGCTTTGATTTTTTTTCTACTGCCTTTTTTGCCGAATCTTGTACTTCCCAGAACTACCCACCCCTTGGGCAACTGAAATTCATCATCTATATTTCTAAAAACACTCATACTAGTTATATTCAAATAAATAAATCTTATCAATAGTTCTACCATAAATAGCTCTACTAACCTTTCTCTGGAATTATCTATTCCGGCTGATTTTTGATAATAAATGAATGCATTTAGTTCATTCCTTTCAATTCCAATTCCATTGAAATTTCCCATTTCAACAGATCTTTGAGAATAAATGAATGCACTCTGTTCATCCTTTTCAGTGCCGTTTTCTATATAAATTGTACAAGGTAAAAATTATTATTATTATTATTCAACCAGTCTGAATTAGTGTCTTGATTACCCATTACAGCTGATTTTTGATGATAAATGAATGCACTTTGTTCATTCCTTTCAACTTCAATTCCACTAAAATTTTCCATTTCAGCAGATTTTTGATGATAAATGAATGCACTTTGTTCATTCCTTTCAACTTCAATTCCACTAAAATTTTCCATTTTAGCAGATTTTTGATGATAAATAAATACGTTCTGTTCATCTTTTCTGACTCTACTTTCTAAAGAATTGTACAAAAGTAAACCAATTATTATTTTATTATTTATTTATTTATTTATTTATTTTTTTATTTTAACTAAAAAATGTTCATTTGCCATGATGAAACATTCGAAGTAGAATAAATAGTTTAGATAGTTCTTACCATCAATATCTATCTCGTAATAATCGTCCACAATATTGAAATTTACGTCTGTCTCACAAAAAAAGTAAGTTGGCAACTTCTTGTATCGAGATCTTAAAATTATAACTTACCCTCCATGTCAATATCTTCAACTATCTGATTACTCGTAGGAACTAAAGCTTATCATAAGCGATCAATTTTAT